GTGCTGTTTAGGTCCAGGACTTTATTATACTGCATTTGTATGGAGTTAATTTATTTGTCTTGCTGAAATTTCATTCTATATATGGAACACTAGTTTGAGATTATGAAGTGTGATATTTCTTCTTTGGATGCACAAATATATATAAAATAAAGCCTACACTATGAAGAAAAATATGCTCTAAACAAAGTAACTTTGTCTGAAGAGTGCAAAAACTCAGGCCATGTTCACATCCATATTTTCTGTCATATACCCCAAGTGTATACAAGAATTCAGAGCAATAAAAGACTGCTGCTATCTGCAGCAGAAGTAATAGCTGAAACTTTAAGGGATATGTTAGTCAATGTGCATGATGTCTAATGTGCCCAGCAGTGTTGTTTTCCCAGGAAGACAGAGTTTATTTTAGCAAAATCTTAATGCTACAGACGAAATCCTGAGACACTGAAAATCATTTGCAAAAACTGATACTGGAGATTGGTGAATCTAGGATTGCATTCAGAATCACTTTCTGAGTATATATATATATGCAAATATGTCGCCTCCAAACCCTAACCTTTCAAATACATGCCCTTCACCATCTCAAGGGAGATTGCAGAAATACCTGTTACTCTGTGTTCTGAAAATCACACCTTCCACTTTCTGAAGTGGTTATTCATTCCAGTTTTCCTTCATCTCTTTGTGTAAAATTAAATCCATTTGCATCTGTTTGAAAGAAGCAGAATTCGTAATTGATGCTGTACTCTACCTATTGCAGATTATATGAAATGGAAGTAGAAGCTAAGGTGGGTGTCTGAAGCAGTATTTTAAGCTTTATAGATTTAACAATACTTAATTTGAAAAACACACATGCAGGCAGGAAAAACCTATTAACATTAATATACTTTATAGCAGGAAAGAGTGAACTCAACTTTGGAGCTGATCTCCCTGATGAGAGTATGTTACCATTGTCACTCAGAAGACACCTGTGTCTTCCTGGTAGCTGGACCTCTTTTTTGCCATACAGTCTGTAGCAAATGGATTTTTTTTTTTCTACTTTTTCAGTTAGAAGTTGTTCTTAGATTTATTTTTTGTTCTTCTATAGTAAACCTGGATTGATTTCTGGGAGCCTGTAAGCTTGTGCAAATATGGAAAGTGAGAAGTGGGGGGGAAGACAGTGCTTTATAAGGAGATAAAGACAGGATTTGCATTTATGTGTGTGTATCTCTGTACCTTCCAAGGCTATGAAAGAAACTAGAATGAAAGTTATAAGGACTGTAATATTCTGGAGTGTCTAGGTGCAGCTCATTTAGATATTCATGATGTGAGATTATGAAAGCACTTTTCCTCAAAGGTTAATGTGCTGATGCATACAAACCTTTACCTAGA